CATCGATTTCTATCTCTGGGAAGATGTGCGTTTGGGCAGAAGTGGTGAAAAGCAGCAGCATCGGTGTATGCGGAGTCAAGTTCGACTAAGGATCGTCTATATCAGAACGAAGGGAACATGTGGGGGGAAGGGGGAGGGGGTCAACATACCTTCGGTATAAGAGGAAGAATCCACGAGAAGAATGAGAGGAGTGCTTTTCGCACACTGGCCTCCTACATTGCACGCTAATTAGTCAGGTACGTAGTAAGTGGACGGCTTCGTACTTCATCGCCGATAAGTCGAACACAAGCGCCGAAGAGTGTTGTAAGTGACGGCTCTATGAGAGAAGGGTGGAATTCCAGCAACTCCCGTAGGCCAAGGAGGGCATCTGCATCCACGAGTGAGCTGAAAGAAACTAGATCGCACAAAACACCGTACCTCGCCTGGTTCCGGGGCTGTAGTGCTTCAAATGAGCGATGAGATCGTCGAAAGTGAGTTTGCGCTTGGTTGTGGGCGCAGCGTCATCTTTCTGTGAGGCGATACTTTGGCTAGGAAGAGCGATAGCTGGGTGCTGTCGTCCATCACTCTCAAAGCGAAATGGGAGGAGAAAATGACTGACATCGGGCTTTGAAGGATGTATCGATCTGGTTCGTTGGGAGTTTCTTGCCCTTTCCGAGTTTGAGTTTCGCTTTTGAAAAGTCCGCCGCCTTTTCTTTCTTCTTTCTTGTCGCTTTTGCCATGGCTGTTGCGGTCGAGAACGTCGAGAACGAGGAGGGAGGGAGGAAGACAAACCGGGCCGACGGGCGGCTAGGATCGGAGATCTGTTCTGTTAGGGCGTCAAGGTGAGGGACCGCGAGCCGGTTCTCCCATTGTTTGTTTCCTTGCTCGTCCCCCGCCCCCCGCCTTCGTCTCCATCTTCCTCGTCGTCACAGACGATGACCTCAAAACCCCCTTCAACGGCCTCCTCGGGTCCCCTCAGCTCTCCATCGCCCTCCCCTTCGCCTCCTCCCGATGACCGTCCCTTCCCCCGAACACTCCTCCCCCCCCAGCCCAAACGCCATATGCCTCTCGACACCAGCTCAGAGCTCTCAGAGCTCACAGACGAAGAGCAGGACACGGAAAAAGGTGCCACCTCAGGTACAAAATCCTTTTCCAACACCCCCTACCGCCGCGGCGACATCGAAGCCTGGCCGCCATCCGACCCCGACTCCCCCAAACCGGGCGTTGACTCCGACTCTGCGCCCAAACCCTCCTCATCCAAGCCCATGTCGCGCTTCAAGTCCCCTCTATCTTCCCGCCGCGACTCGCGCATGACGTCCACCGAACCGGAATCACCCCCCAAATCTTCATCGTCCTCCTCGCGTCGTGGCAAGAAACGCCGTAGTCTCGTGCCCGAACCCATGTGGGATTGGGCTTACAAGGAGAAGGAAAGGGCCGCAAGGAAGAACGGCGCAGACAAGGACAAATCAAGCGATAGCTCTACCCCCGTCCTCGACAAGCCACCCGGCGACCTCACCGGATCTCCTCTTGACCTCGTCGACGAAGAGTTGACTAAGGACAAGGAGGTGAGCATCGAGCTGGAGGAGGAGGAAGAGGAGGAGGAGGAGGAGGAGACACCTGACCCTCCTAAAGCAATGGAAGAAGAAGAAGACGAGGACGAAGATCCAGGCCACACCGGCAAACGCGTCCCCAAGCCACTCCCGCCTGTGTTAATCAACAATATCAAACCCGACGTTGCAGACATGGATGTCGATCCTCAAGAAGACGAAGCCACCCTCAGCGCCGAAGAACGCGACGTCGATGATGACGTCGAGTCAGAGGCCGACCAGGAAGACGCGGATGTGACCATGTCAATAGCAGCAGCAAGCCCTCCACCCGCCCCGGCTGTACTTCCCCGACCATCCCTCGGCATGTCGGACGACGAGGACGGACCCGCCGAGGATGACGAGAACGAAACTGCATCCGAAGCTGAAGATCCAGAACCAGACCCCGTCATCGCCGCTGCGGAAGCGCTCATGGACATGCCTCGCGAGATCGAGCCCAAGGCCGACGCAACTGCACCTTCCCCTGCCATCGTGAAACCTGTCGCGGCCGCTGCCGCTGCGTCCTCGATCATGGCAGGCTCGTCCGTCATGGAACCCGAGGAAGCGGCCTCTCCCACGAGCTCAGCCTCTTCCTCTCGCTCAACATCCCCAATCCTTGCACCCAAACCCTCACTCTTGAACTCGAAACCCAAGCTCAATGGCGAAGGTGCACATGTATCGCCAATAGACACCGTTGAACCTGCCGCGGATGAAGAGGGCGACGACGAGAAGGACATGGACGTCGATGATGCAGACATGGAAATCGAGAACGACTCAGACCTTCAGCCTGCGCACCGTGCTGAGGCACTGGATGAACTGGCAAAGATTGAACTAAAATTCGCGTTGCTACGCGAACGTTCCTACGTCGAGAAGATGGGGCAGCTTGCTTGGGAGGAAGGCCTCGTGAATGAAGGTATGCTAAATCTTGTCTCCTCGAGTTACATATCTGAGGCTCCTGCTGCAGGTATGCACCCGGAGATGCTGCATCTACATGCAGAGCTATCGAAACGGCGAGACAAGCGTATCGAACTCGCAGAGAAAAGGAGGAGCTATGAGATCGTCAGTATCGGCAAGCGTCGTCGCGCAGGCGAGACGATCACTTGGACGACCTGGCTGGTGAGCACACTATCTTTCTCGCATTGAACATTCGTCTCAAAAGACCTTTCAGCATGCGCGCGATGATCTTCAAACTGAGATGATCGCGGAGACCAATCGCAAAAGACGAAAACTGGAACGTGAAAGGAGGGCCGCAGATCGACCCCAGCCTGGTACGTTTCCCGTATTTATATATCCGCATACACTCAACGTCTCCTGTTATGGATGCTTAGTTCGACGGATACCTAGCTACCAGCCAGAAATTCCCGTGCCGCCTACCCTTCGCGATCTCGTTCACAGGAATCCTTTCCTACGGGCACCTTCTGGTCATTCGTCTCGCAAACCCCGAGCAACTCTAGTATCGCATGCCCATCCTCAATTACCCGCCCTTGACCAAAACGAAATCACAAGCGATCTCGACTACCTCCTAGCCCATCGACGGTCCTACGAACCGCCACGACAGTACGACGTGCCATATTCCGGTATGGGCATGGGCATGGAGCCCGCCTACCCACGCGGACAACAGCTTCCAGGATTCGGGATGGCTGGCGTTTCCGGAGGCAGTCGATCGCGTCATGAAATGGCAATAACGCCTCTTGAGCAGGAGCTCATGGCTGGTCCTGCGATGGGTATCCCGGGAATGGGGTATCAAACCATGAGCAGGGAGATCTCTCCTGTGCACATCGGCCCTTCTCCTGGGGCAAAGATCAATGGGTGGCCAGCTGGCGGCCAACAGGGCAGAGAATGGAACGGGGGATCAGGACGGCGAGAGGAAGAGCCATATAGGGAGCGCGAGGCACACGAACGAGAGAGAGAGCGTGGAATTTCGTTGGGTAGGCCGAGCGAGCGCGATGGGCATTTCGAGCTGGAGAGGACACGGGACAGGAGACGCGATCGACACGACCGCGAGTTCGATCGAGAGCGAGAATTGCAGCTTGGATATCCTCAAGCACCTGGTCCCTCGACTTCTATTAGGCTTGTGCATGCCGGTCCCGTACAAGCCGCTCCTCACGCACACCACCACCACGTCCACCACCACCATCACCATCATCACAATGGCGCCAACGGCCCTGCCCCGCTGTCTACTTCCCACATGGGTCACGCCTCGCAACCGCACACCAACGGCACCTTACCCATGTCTCCTCTCAACCCAAACCCCCACTCGCACGCACCTTCACCGCGTCGCGATGCGGAGAGCGGACGTCCCGCATCTCGCTCAGGTCCCTCGACAACGGAGGTTATCACACTCTCTCCCGCAACCTCGCGGCACGTCCCGAACAGCCACCCGTCCCCTCACTGGCGCGCCGACGAACGTGACCGCGAACGAGAGCTGCCCCCTTCTACCTCCCCTCGCTCGACGCGTGACCGCGAACGTGGCCGGCCTGTAAACGGTCAACCGCCCCTTGCCCCGCACGAACGAATTATGACTCCATTTGGAGTCCACTCGCAGGCACCCTCTGGTTCCGCGTTCCCACCTGGTCTTTCCTCCGCTGCCGCTGCTCAACAAAGTCGCGGACCTTCACGGCGCGGTTCGTTCAGCGCCGACGGGCCGACGCCACATATCATGGGTGGTCGATCGTCAGGCCAGACCACGAATGGTGTGGGTCCACCACCGTCGATGCTACACTCGCCCTCGCGACAACCGATGACGATGTCCCCGCCCCGTACCACGACGCGTCTCCCGCCTCCCAGCCCCAGCGGATCGCTCCCGCCCCTCAACTCGTTGCGCTCCCCTCGATCGGCGTACCCTGTGTCAGGGGATCTTGTGAAGATCCCACCGATCAGCCCGTCGGGCCCAGGGAGGAAGGAGATGTTGACACTGGGTGATCGCGATGGGCCGAGCTCGAGGTTGCCGTCGCCGCCATTCACAGGGCGATTGCCCCCGCCACCATCAAGTTTGGGAAGTCAGGATATGGGGGCCCCTCCCCCGCCGAGTATGATGGGGATGGGAGTGTCAGTGGGCCCAGGTGATGTGTCGTGAGCGAACACGAACATATTGTGTCGAGTTGTGGGACGGTGGAGGTTTTTGTTGGTTATATATTGTCAGCTATTTGCCCGGATTGTATAATCGGTCCTTATCTTCTTTTTTCGTACTGCATTGTTGTCTAATGTGAATGTGGGCTTTGCCTCGCGCGGCCAGCCTATGTATGAGCCAGAGTAGTTTTCCATCGCGGGAAGCTGTGGGGGGATCCATTTGGTGGTCGTCTGAGTCCTGGACAGTGGACTCCTGACTTTACCTTGGATCTTGTCACCTTGGAGGCTTGGACCTTGGACGGTGGAACTGGACCTTCACCAGGTCACCTGGAGCTTGAGAAAAGAAAGAAAAGAAGTGCAACCAAAAGGTACCCACTAACCGGATTGAACGATCGACCTCACCATGTGAGGTCACGTGACCATACGAGTGGCGCGCTCTACCACTGAGCTAAACGGGCTTCATGATTTCTGTAAGATAATCTACTCTGCTAGATAGAAGACCAGCAGAAAGCAGCTGCTCTGACTTTGCCTTGCTTTTCGTCGCATGCATCTCTCTCAGCCTACTCCTATATGACTACTTATGACGGATTGCGACGACGTGTTCTATCTCTTTATTAAAACTTCTCAAGATCTCACCTCAAGTTGTGCTGGTGCTAAATTGCGAATGCCATTGTGTCGGTGTGTGCTCAGCAGGCCTGCTTTCTATTCAGCAGAAGTGGGCTGACAGAGGTTGAACCATAAATAGCCTTGGCCCACTCAATGGATGAAAATCGCTACAATTACTTACATGGAATCAGAGCAGCTGTCTTCTCAGCGATCCACGGCCGCCACGCACGGTGTGGGTTCTGGTCTCATGACGTATGTTTGTAAGTTACAAGCAGTTATAAAGCGATTTGTATATATAGCCCGCCGTCGATAACGTGTTTTCTCATCGCCCTTCACTCCTCCCCAGCATCATAGCCTGAGCCATGGCCGAGCAGAAGAGCATCTTGAACGTCGTCATGGTGTGTTTCTCGGGAATGCCTCGCGGACGATTGCTGATCGGTGATCATGCCCTCAGGGCGCCATGACTTTCGGATATGAGGGGACGGATGGTGCGCGCCTTCATACACCAGCGGCGGTCACGGAGGTCCTCGACGTGTTTCAGAAGCATGGCCACAAAGAGGTGCGAGGTGTCTCGCACGATCGTGTACGTTCGCTAATAATGTCATCCAGATTGACACAGCTCGTGTTTACACCAGCGGTACCAGCGAAGAGCTCTTGGGCCAGATCAACTACAAGGATCGTGGTTTGATCATGGAGACGAAACTATATCCCTTCCCTGTATGTTTCTCAGCTCACTGTGCACCCCCTGTAACCCTAAACCAATCTGTTGGCTTGGAAAGCCTATCAACCACACTCCTGAGGTATAACGTCGCTTTGCCTATGTCCAATTTCACCCAAATACCGACGGATCCCTTGCAGGGCCTGCGCAAACATTTGGACGACTCTCTGAAAGCCTTGAAAACCGAGTGCGTGCTGTGCCTAATGTCCCAGCGATGCACCTCTAATTGCCTATGATTTCATTGTAGGCAGCTGGATATGTGGTACCTACATGGCCCCGATCGCTCTACACCGTACCATGTCACTATGAAGACCGTCAATGAACTGTACAAGGAAGGAAAGTTCAAGAAACTGGGCATCAGTAACTATGCCGCGTAAGTAGTTCGACGCCAGTTCTTGCGATGCTCCGCTGACAAGGGCTCACTGCAGGTGGGAGGTAGCAGAGATTGTGTACATATGTCAAACCAACGGATACATCCAACCAACGGTCTATCAAGGCATATACAACGCGATTCACAGGTACCCATATATCATATCATATTCCCATTCGACCGAGCCCCGTTCCTAACCACCCTGCTTGACAGGGGTGTGGAACCGGAACTTTTCCCATGCCTGCGTAAATTTGGCATCAGTTTCTATGCATTCAACGCTCGTACGTACATGTTCATTTGGGCCCGGTCTTACCGCCTTACGGCCTAGGCAGTTGGCGGAGGGTTCTTCACTGGAAAGTACTCGTCTATCAAGGACGAAGTGCCTACAGGCACTCGTTTTGACCCGTCTAAGAAGCAAGGCCAAGTAAAACATCTCCAACGCTATCCTTACTGCACACGACTGACAACTTTCCATAGAGCTATCGCAACCGCTACTGGAAGGAGCCGTACTTTCAGGCCGTCGATCTCGTCCGTGCCACTTGCGACGCGCATGGACTCACTATGGCCGAGGTCGCCCTTCGTTGGATTTCGAACCACAGCAAGATGAAGCGCGAGCACGGAGATTCTGTCATCATCGGCGCGTCGAGCGTGAAGCACATTGAACAAAATCTTGTCGACTTGGAGAAGGGACCGCTGCGTGAGTCTCTTCATGACGGCGCTTTATATACGGGTTCCTGACGCAATAGCTTAGCGGACGAGGTACTGAAGGTGCTGG